CCCTACTTTTTGGGCTATTGAAACATCTCTTTCACTTTCTATCTCAGCCAAGATCATTTGTAATAAATAGTCAGTTATTGGGTCTAAGCTCTCACGTGAGAGGAAAGTGCTAATTTCAGACGTAGCACCAATTTGTGACCGCTGCGAATGCAAACCTGGTGTAAATGCAACTTTTTTTTGTTTCATAGGTTTCTCTCCAGTTTCTCTTTCCTTTTTTACATCTTTATATTTCCTCAAGATTTTAGTTACGGTTTCAGCCACTTTTTGGAAATATTCCTCCATTTTTGCCTTAATGAGTCCTAATTTCTCAACTTCTGCTCTTTTTAATAGCATCTCCTCCTTCAGTTCGGTCTTTTTCTCAGAAGGCTTTCTTAAGTTATCAATTTTCTCTTTTAGGAAAGTCATTATGGCTTTCTGAAATTCTTCTAGGATACTCTGTTCACTTTTGCGACCTGGACTTTCTGGAATTCTGGTAGATTCTGAGGTCTCTTTAGCCACCCTTGAGCCTGATTTCACAAGTTGTTGTGGCTTTAATTGTTTGGTAACATCTAAAACTTCCTTCTCTTCAGTTTTTTCTTCTTTGCTTTTGGTGGTTCCCAAAGACGGCTGTTGTTTCTTTCCTTTTGTCTTAACTTTCTTCGGCTCAGAGTCAGGTTGTGCTGTCTTGACCGGCTCCACTAGCTTAATCATTTCAATTTTGCTCTCTTTGTTTGTTGACTCAGTGGGAGGTTCTACTTTAAGCGCTGTGGAAACTAAACTTTTGTCATGTAAATATTCAGATTTGGCCTTCTTCAGTTGCTCCCATAGACTACTTACTCCACCTTTGCCACCTTGACTCTTTGTTTCAATAGAACTGTCTTCTAAAAGGGATTTTATTTCTTTTCTCTTCTTTTCCAGAGCTTGTAGCTCAGGGTATTGACTAAGTTTGGTCTCTAAAACTTTCTCTTCACCCAAATTCGATCCACCGGGCTCCTGTACATGGGGGACTTTTGTTTGCTTTTTTTTATGTGGCCGATAGTGGTCAGTCCCCTCTTTCTGAGGGACATCAGCTTTCTTCAGTGATGGCTTACGTTCAGTGATCTCTTCAGTAGTATCTTCAGGAGGCATTTTCTGTTTTTTTTCAGGTACAGTTAACTCTGGAGTCATTTCAGCTTGGGCTGTGTATGCAATGGCTGAGTCCCACTTTACCCCAGAGACTTTGGTTCCTTTGCTTTGGGCCTCATCTACAATAATTTCAAATTGTTTGACTAAAATACTGTCAATACTATCTTCTTTATCACTAGCTTTGATGGTGGCCATGGATGACGGTGGAGAAGCTCCAGGTGGCACTTTTGAGGTTGATGACATGGGCAATACTATGTATCCTGGAGACCCAGCTTTGGATCGCAAAAGTTGTTCATGTTTTTCTTCTGTAACTTTAAGTACATGCTGAAGCAATTCATTTTCTTCAATGAGATCTTGTATTATCTTCAGGGAGAACTCTTTTTCTGCCTCACTTGTCTCCTCTACATACATAGTGGTACTTTGCGAGCTAATAACTTTTATTTCATCATTTAGTGCACTCAAAGCTTTAGAAAGGTTCATCATTGTTGATGATATATATTTAATAGCATTGTTTTCCAATTTACTGAACATTGAAGTGCCTATGAGTTCCTGTAGCATATCTTGAATTTCTGAAACCTTCGTATTTGTTGCAAACTGATCACTAATCATCTGATCTGGTCTTAAAGCATGGGCTGTTGCAGGTCGCTTTATAACTCTGTCTTTCCAAGATTTCCAGAGAGCGCCTCTAATTTCTAGAAGAAATAAGCATAAAACACAAAACAATGAGATTACATTTCTTTTTTTGTGCTCTGTGTTTACAGTTCAGGGAGTTAGCCTAAATTAATAGATAACTATAGGGTAAAGATTCATCAGAAAACTAGTTTCAAAATAAATAGTACTGAGCTATTTATGGTGGGGTTCATCTGTAATCCCAGTTACTCAGAAGGCGAAGCAAGAGGATTTTGAGTTCAAAACCAATTTGGGTAGCATAGTGAGACTCTCTCAAAAACAAACAAACAACATTATTTTTTTTAAAAATGACTTTTTTTTTTTTTGAGAGGTTTTCTCTCTATAGGGCACATGTGCTCGCCAGACAGACAGAGAGAGACAGAGAGACAGAAAGCGAGAAATCACCCCCCAGGGGGGATGGTCATGCTGCAATCCCTTCTCCATTCTCCCCTCGGGATCTTGGGCACACACACTCACGCGCCCAGCATGAGTTCTAAGCTACCGGGTCCAGGACGCGAACCGCAGTTGACTATGTGGGAGTCCAGCGACATAGCCATTACACTAACTGCTGGTTCCCAAGAATGACTTTTTTTTGAGAGAGAGAGAGATTTTTGCTGTAGGGTATGTGCTCTCACCAGAGAGACAGAGAGATAGAAAATGAGAAATCACCCCCCCGGGGGCGGGGAATGGCCACACTGCAATCCCTTCTCTTCCATTCTCCTCTTACGATTTTGGACACTCATGCACGCACTCCCAACATGAAGTTTAAGCCACCAGTTCTGAGACGTGAACTGCATTCAACTACATGGGAGTCCAGCAATGTAACCATTACACCAACTGCTGGTCCCTAAAAGAATGACTCTTGTCCCATTGTCACCTAGATCTGCTTTCAGAGTTTAAGTCATGAACTCAGCTGTGACCTTGATTTACTGTCAGTTACAAATTTCAGATTAGATGTAATATAAACCAAAATCCCCTGGGACCAGCAGTTAGTCCAATGGCTATGTCGTTGGACTCCTACGTAGTCGACCGCGGTTCGCATCCCAGACCCGGTGACTTGAAACTCATGCCAGGCGCATGTGTGTGCGTGCCCAGGATCCCGAGAGGAGAATGGAGGAGAAGGGATTGTGGCATGGCCATCCCCCCTGGGGGGTGATTTCTCGCTTTCTGTCTCTCTGTCTCTGTCTGTCTGGCGAGCGCACGTGCCCTATAGCAAAAACCTCTAAAAAAAAAATTCCCTCTGGCTTTGTTTACACTTAATGCTTCCCATTTTCTTCCTTGAGCTCCCCTGCCATCCCATCAGTCTGTCTCTTTTTTCTGTTTAGATTTTTGCTATAGGGTACATGCACTCTCTGGAGAGAGACAGGCAGAGAAAGTAAGATATCCTCCCAGGGAGGATGGCCACAACACAATCCCTTCTCCTCCATTCTCTCCTTGAGCACACACCCCTCTACACTCCTCCTGAACCCAGCATGTTTTTCCTTCTTTCTTTCTTTCTTGTTCCCTTTCTTTCTTTCTTTATCATTATCATTATCATTATTATTATTATTATATTTATTTATTTTTAAAATTTGTTATAGGGCATGCACCTTACCAGAAAGAGACAGAGAGAGGGGGGGAAAGTCAAAAAGCAAGCCACCAGGTCTGGGATGCAGAACGAGGTCAGCCATGTGGGAGTCCAGTGCCTCAATCACCACCACACCTGCTGGCCCAGGCTCCTATCTCTTTTTTCTCCCTTTTCTGAATCAAAGATAACCTTGGTTCTTTCAAAAAGGTCTAAGTCAACATACAAAAGACAAACAGTAGAGGGATTTCCAGAGAATGATCGAGAAACTCAGCAGTTTTTTTCCCTCCAAAAAGTTGGTCAGTACCATAGCCTAGTAGTTCAGAGAGTCAGATCCCAAATGGCCAAACATGGTTCAAATATTGGCCCTGGTAGTTTTAGAACCATGGTGGGGGGACCAGCAGATGACATAATAGTTATGTTACTGGACTCCCACGTTGTTGACTGTGGTTTGAGTCCCAGGCTTGGCAACTTCAAACTCATGCCAGGCATGTGTACATGCATGCCCAAGACCCTAAGGAGAATAGAGGAGAAGGGATTGCAGCATGGCCATCCCCTCTTAGGGGTGATTTCTCACTTTCTGTCTTTCTGTCTTTCCACTGAGCACACGTACCCTACAGCAAAAATCTCTAAAAAAAAAAAAAAAAAAAATTAGAAAAACAAATAAACAGGGCCATACTCATAGCCTAGTGGTTAAGGTTAAGAGAACTATATCCCACATGGCTGACCAGTTTGGATTCCAACCCCAGCAGTTGGAAAAACACATTGGGCATGTGTGTTCTAACTCCTGACAGAGTTGAGAAAGAGGAAAAGGGATTGTGACGTGGTCATGTCTCATTGAGGGGTATTTTCCACTCCCCTTACCTGTCTCTCTCTGGTGAGTGTACATGCCTTCTGACAATGGAAGTAAATTAAAAAAAAAAAAAAAGGAATGAAGGAAGAAGAATCAGCAAATTAAATATTCATGCTGAAAAATAAGGAGGAAAAAGAATAAAGAAAAATGACCAAAGCCTCAGAGACTTGTGGGACACTCTCTTAGTTTGTTCAGGCTGTTATAACAAAATACCACAATTGGGGTCAGCAGGTGACACGGTGGTTAAGGGTGCTGGACTCCCACATGGCCAACCACGGTTCAAATCCTGGACCTGGGGCCTTGCTTTCTCACTTTCTTGCTCGCTCGCTCTCTTTCTCGCTCTCTCTCTTCTTCTCGCCCTGTCCTCTGGTCAAATTTAAGTGTGTAAATAAATAAATAAACTTAAATTTGGGCTGGCAGGTGGTGTGGTAGTTAAGGGCACTGGACTCCCACATGGCCAATTGTGGTTCAAGTCCTGGACCTGACAGCTTGCTTTCTCACATTCCCTCTCTCTGTCCCTCTTTGGTCAAATTAAAATGGATGAATGAATAAATAAATAAAGTTAAATAAAAATAATTATTTAAAATAAATAAAT